TTTCTCATAACTTCTTCGTAGGATGACCCCTTTAGCCGGTATTTTGCAGGCAAGATGACCAAAACTTAAAATTTGCACTTTTTGAACAAAATGACCAACATTTGAATGAGCGTAACTTGGGATTTATTAGACCTACAGAGGCTCCGGTTGGACTCAAATTGTAGATAATTTTGTCTACTTTAAAAGTGTTATTCCAACCTACAACGCTAGGATGTACCGTTTCAAAGTTATAAGCGAAAAACCGCAAGAAGTCCGAAAATTTCGAGAGTTTTCGAGCACCCCGAAGTTAGCACAGGTCTTTCGAAGCTGCAAACTTAGATTCACACTAGTGGTACCGACCCTAACAACCTGCCAAATATTCAGAATTACCGGATTTTTTGCGATGTTTGCCTTTTTTATTGTCTAAGATGACTGGCCTATTATGGTCGAGACTGTAGAGTAACAAGCTACATTCAATGAGTGAAGTTTTTCTCACCTTATAACAGAACGTAAATCTCCGTTACTTGATTAATTACTTCGTTATTACATAAAACAAATTATTATAATATATATAAATTATTATACCTACATAAATGACGTCCATAACATCAGGTGAGATGCAAGTTAACAAAGCGTAAATCGGATTTTCGCTTTTGTTGTTAGTTTGCTTCGTTTTGGGCGAAGTGTAAAAACTGTTCTCATTCTCACTTTTTATCACTAACCCTCTATGTTAAGGTCCTTAAAGTACAAACCCTTTCGCGTTTTAATCGCTTAAAAGGGCGATCAACACCAACAATGGTTAAACTGAAAGGTTTAAAGCAGATTTCTATTCTCTCGCAAGATATAAAGGTAACGCAAACTGGAACAATTAATGCTTCAGTTTCCGTTCATCACCGAAAACGTTTCCCCCGAGATTAGAGTCACGGTCAGTTTCAGGCACTTTATAAGTTTTTAATGTTATCTTTCCCTCCGGTTCGATTCACGAATATTTATAATGACAGATAATATAATCGAAAAAGTTTTTCCTATTACCGGCCAGGAACGCCAGAAGCATCTGCATATACCACTGCAGTGATAAACGTCCACGTTTTAGAAACATTGATTTGTGGTGATAATTCCGGCCAAACGTCGCAATGTACAATAACTCGCTGAAAGTTGCTCTATCCGCTCATTTTTATTCAGCGTGCATGGCGAAATACGGGAAGAATCAATATCCTGGATTCACAATCGCGCTATTTAAAAGCTATTAATATTTAACGGACGTATTTCATCTCGTTTTTTAATTAACTGCATTAGAATTTTATTTTCCCATCGAGCTAAATATTTTCGATGAATTTAACAGACCATCGCGTTTTCGGTCACATATTGATACCTACATATGCAATTACCATCACCTTTACAAAAACAGAATAAATTCCTAAAAGAAAAAAGACGGTCGTATTTAAATATTGAAACAAAATACGAGAGATACACATCACCAATTTTACAATAAAATTATTGTTCTACTCGTATAATGTAATAGACACGGCGCCTAAAGTTTCACTAACAAGACAAGAGCGATAAATCCTATGTAAGTCTTCTATTTGAAATATTTTTCTTGCTCTTTTCAGCTCTCGTACTTTAGCATTGGTAAACTTATTATCTTTACATATTAGACTACTTTTTAAGATCTTTTAATTAAGGGTTTCAATTCCAAGGTATGAAATTTTCGATCTCCGCTTGAAATTATTTCATGTGCAGTCTTCATGCAACAAATTTTAAAATTTTAGATTTTTAATTGAAAGTTAATGTTACAAATAGTTTCCAAAAGTTACTTTTTTTTCTTGAAATTATTTCTTCGATGACAGTGCACGCCTTATAATTATAACAAAAGGTTCAAAGTTCTTTCAGAATCGTTACACTATTTATGCGCAGATTAAGAATCGGTCAAATACGTTAAAAAAAGTATGCTGGACTACCCCTAAATTTAACTTTAACTTTCAATCCCCCATAATGGCCTACGAAAACGACTTAGTTTAAAAATTATTCCCACACAAACTTAGAATATATGGAGCAGTTTTATTGGCGATATTTAAAGGTTGATATGTGTGCTTTGTTTGCCTACTCTCGCTGTTCCGTATATATGTACACTCACGTCAAAAATTAATGATTTGAGTTCTTCATAGTTTCTCTTTTTCTCTTTTTTTTTTACTACGAATACATTAACGCTAACTAGTCTGAACGGCATCAAAGTACATAAAGGGAAAAATTCAATGAACGATACAGGATGCTTGTTTTATCGAAGAAGCTACGAAAGAAACTACTCTTTATTAATAATTAAGGGCTGAAAAAAGAACTTTGCCGTCAAATTTAATTGTAGTCTAATTATAGTTTTCAAACACTTAAACATTCAATTAACCCTTTAGTGATATTTAATTACCCGTAATTTGTACAATCAATAATGCTAAAATTCGAAGATAATTTCAGCAAGGCTTTATTACTTTAAATGTCAAAACAATTATTTTAGCATATTTCATTTCTTATTCTAATTTCTCCCTCGGGCGCCGTTTCGTGGTAGCGTTCGTGTAAATCTACAGCTCAATTAAAAGTTTTCCGAACGAAGCTGCTTCCTATTGTTTCATTTTCAGAGATGAAAACGTACATCATTACAATTTTCTCTTAAAACGTCATAACGACGGGCCATTGGCTGCTTCGAGCAACTTTGAAACTTAACCTAAATCCACTTTATATTATCATTAATGATTTTGCTATCTACATTGTTGTACTTCATCGTCTGCAAAATTGAATGGTCCTTCGATCCGTGCATGTAGGTCAATATATATGCAGCACACAAATTGCGGTGCTTTTGTATAGGTAAGTGCTTACGTAATCGCGTCTTTATCTAATTTATACTGCTAATCAGTAGATACATATAAAAGGTAAAGGATATGATGAAAAGTTGTGAAAGCTTCCGAACTTGTTTTCAAGTTTTCCTTCTTATCAAGAAAAGTTTAGCGAAGATGTTTCTTTTGTATCCTTTACGATGGGTAAGCATGTCACTACAGATTACAGCTTTCTATGTTGCTGGGGAACGAAATGCTGGAAGAGGAGCAAAATAATTAACTGCACTCGTACCACGTTCTTCATTGTATTAAAATCTAGTACTTCCGTTGTTACGACGTCGCAATAAAGTTTCAATGCACCGCAACGCCGTTTTACGTACCGACATTGTAGTGTAATGGAAGTATGTTTATGCACACCTCGAAATGGGTGTAGATATTATAGGTGTAATGGACGCGAATTTCATGTTGTTATGTGAAATCCATACATTATCAACTTCCGCCTTCTTACGCTAATAAATAGGGGGAGGGTAATTCCATTAGCTCGATCCACACTGCCTCAAAGTTTGAAATAGCCAAATTATTATGAGGGATAAACCTCCACACACAATCTTCTTACGATTTATTAATCGCGGGCCACCTGCTACACTCAAATGTAAGGTGATGAAAACCCTACTGGACAGGAGCACCCTTGATGAACAGCAATTTTTATGATGACCCTGGAAAGCATTAATTTTGTCTTTGACATGATGGATTAGTGCATGATTGTGTTAAACCAGCAGCCTAGTTGATCCTCATTTAAAATTAACACAGCGTGATGTGACCTACAATTTTGGATCGAAAATACCTCATTGCGACAAAACTTCAAAATATTGTTAAAAAAAGACTTGGCTCGCGGCTTAAATTACGTTAAGGCGCTTGTTTTATGTCGCAAAGTCCTTATTAAAATTTCGACACATTCAAAAGAAGATCCCCAAAAAACATTCCACACAACAATAGCATTAATTTTAAGTCTTATTAGCAAAGTAGAAAATTGAGTTGTTTCCTTAAGCTTTCAGTGAAATTAAATTAGTCTTCCGTATAAAATACGGTTTGCTAAAGGAGTTCGCAGATGGCCAGGAAGGAAAACGTTTAAAATCTAGCCTGACAATTTTAACAGCCAACTTCTTTCGTTTCGTTTAGCCCCGCTGACAATGACAGATTTAATTAGAAACGTTGCACTAATGACTTCTTAACGCAAAAAGAAGAACCTTATTAACAACGCAATCGGAGTTAAGGTAATGGATAATTTCGATTTTTACACTTTTAAGATCAAAGCTTGTTTTGTGTACATAAATTACTAAACGTTTCGCATAAATGAATTGGTAGGGAAGCTTTATTTAGAATTGGGATATCCAGTTTACTTCAATTACGAATTCCAAAACTCATTATAAAGATTCGAAAATTATCCAGGTTTCAATGGAATATTTTCGTTGTAAATATGTACTATTTCGCGGGCGATCATTGTAACAAGTAGAATTTTGTGTTCAATAGCCCTTCAGCTTGATCGATTTGCATACTTATCTGTTTAAATTGACCCTTGTATAATTTAACCAACACAATCCCTTCGCAGAAATGCTATTTAAAGCTTGAAATTCATTGTGTCTTTTTTAATTGTTACAATAATATATTAAGTGACGCCTTTTAAAAATCATCTACCTTCCTTTGACCCCCAACAATGATTAGTAATTTTTGGCACTGAGGTGCACAATTTTGGCCTTCTACAACGATCAAATAAAAATCTACTCCCCCCTTAAACGATGAAACTTTGCCTTCAATTTATCGTCTTTACAAAGTTTCTTATAACAACTGATTTTTGATATTGAGATGATACAATTTAGACAAACACGAAATGCACTAATTTATTCTACTGTGCTCGACAACGGTACAAGATAATCCAACCGGCAATAGAAAAAATGGTAGTCGCGAAACAACTAAAATCACTAAGGGAGGATGAGATTGCTTTGAGAAAATGCACCATTTGGTACATCCTAAAAGCCCTTAAATTCTACCCATACAAATTGCAGGGCTATTTAGGAATTAAAAAAAATGTGATAAAATATAGGTATGCTTTTTCCACTTTAGCGTCATTATAAGATATTATTTTAAAAAAGAAACACATTAGAGCTGTTCAAACTACTAAAATTACTATATTACACTTACCCTCTAACGTTCCAGTATAAACCATCTTAGAGTCAAAACTTAGTGGTCCCTTTGTCGACTCAAAAGAAACATCCTCGGCGAACACTTCTCGATCTGGTGTAAGTCGTAGTCGAAAAGTTCTGCAACAAACAAATGAAAATCTTAACAGTGGTACCTAAATGTTTAAAATTTCTATAACTATTTTAGTAGTAGGTAATGGAAGGTCGATTTTGTGCGCTACAATATTCTTATTTGACTTTCAGATCAAAGGTACCGGGTGACCCAATAAGACTGTTCCTCGGCCATATCTCGGGAAGCGTTCGTCCAATGACTTGGGGTTAAAAATAATTATTGGGTAAATCGGTCATGAAGAATCGCTGGAAAATATGTTCAAGTTCTAAAAAATGACCACCAGAGGGCGTAACTGCCATCTTAAATTTTAAAATTGCATTTTCTTTCAATTTCACATAATAAACTAAAAATTTTTTTTTCATTTTTAAAGAGAACTAGTTTATCTATCATTTTCGGAAAAAAACTCAGTTATTTCAAAAACAAAAATGGTGTGGGGCGTTCAATTGTTTTTGCAATAATCTCTGCTTTGAGTAACCGATTTTAACAAATTTGGTATCGTTGAAGCGCATTTCTTGGGCAATAAGAATCAAAGTATAGTTGATTTAGTTGAATCCTTCTCCGCCAGGAGGCTAGTTTTGACACCATGACCCAAAATCTTTTTCATAAAGAAAAGTCATATCCTTCCATTTGATTTTTTAAGGATTTTGGGTCATGGTGTCAAAACTAGCCCCCTGGCCGAGAAGGATTCGACTAAATTAACTATATTTTGGTTGATTCTTATTTTCCAAGGAATTTCAACGATACCAAATTTGTTAAAATCGGTTATAACGAGTTTTTTTACGAAAATGATAGATAAACTGGTTCTCTTTTATTATGCGAAAGTTTAAAAAAATGCAATTTTAAAATTTAAGATGGTCACTTGAAAATATTTTCCAGCGATTCTTCATGACCGATTTACCCAATAATTTTTTTACCCCTAAGTCATACGACGAGCGGTTCCCGAGATATGACCGAGTAACAGTCTTATTGGGTCACCCGATACGTACGTGCATCCTCAAAAATAAACTTTTTCGTATTTTTGATTTATTTTATTGTGTAATTATTCAGAATTGAACCTTTAGAAAAAACATATTAAAGTAACATTTACGAAATACGATAAGATTATATATTATTGCTGAGATCTCAACCGCATTCACAGGCCTCATTACGTTCTTCAGCCTGATAATTGTCATTACGACTAATTATACAGGAAAATTGGGTAACTATTTTATCACAAAATTCCATTGTAATTGAGACTACTGTTACACAAATTCTGCCCTATTTGTTTTGTACGATTTGTTTGTTTCTAATCCTTTTTTTTAGTAACTGCGTTGTAACTCAAAGTTGATATCTATTTTTAAAATTGAAGTTACAGTTTACCATGGTCTGAAAAGATTTATTGTTTTCCGAGATTTCCCAAAATGTATAATATATCATACTTATATAGCACCACACTTATTTTCAATAATAAGTTTTCTACAATAAATTTTGCATATTAATTTGATGAAATTGTCCAAAAAAACGGCGATGGCAATATCCACCTAGCTCAACCGAGTCATGTTAAAAATTTGAATTGTCCATTGAAGGGATGAGCACGGGATGACTTTAAATTAGCAGGACAAATTAGCACAAAACGTGAATAAAATAAAATGTTTAAAATATCAATGTTGACACTACAGTGAGAAGCTGGAGGCACATACCAAAAAATTTGAAATTTCAAACCATTATAAATCTAAGATGTTGAAAAGGACATTTTTGGGACTTTTGTCAACGACATCAAAATTTCAAGTGCAAGTATATCTTTGTTATATTTTTAGATTATCTAATGGTTCCTGCTGGAATCATGCAAACTGTAGATACAATTACCAATATAATTTAAACAAATTTAAATTACAATTAAAAAGCTTTTAAGTGTCGGCTTTAGACTTAAAGAAAAGAATAAAGAAGTGAAATATAAATTAAATGTTTAATAAGAAAAAAGAAGCATACATGTAATTTAGAGTTAAAGCACCATATCAGACCGGAAAAGTCCATTAGAGGGAATTAGCTTCACTAATCCTTAATTGCCAAGCCATAAATTTTCTATAAATTCAATTCCAGTTAGAATTAACCGCGAGCACGCCAATGAAACAAAATAAAAATACTTGCAAAAGAAATGCGCCCTTTTTGTGTTGTCGGCCCGAAATAGTAAGTAATCCGTTTCTTAATGAAAATATGGCTGCCGTAAAATGAGATAAAACAAACGCAACTGTCATGGACGCGCGAAATAGGGCTCAGTTGAAAAAGGGGAGAAAAGCGCCCGCTGGACATGAAGCAATTTTCAGGAACTCCGTGAACATATATTATACTTCCGAAATAACGTGAGAATATGGAAATACCAGTAGAAAAGTGTATACGTAAACACGCTAACAGTAACACATCTACACACACGAACGCTCCCTTATAACATCATTTTGCATGTAAATGACTCGCTAGCGTTGGCTTACCGCTCCAGCGGCAAGAAACCAAACAAAAAGCTAACGAAAATAGCACAATTTTCGACTCTTTGTTGTCTTGGAAATCTACCCTCAGTAAATTGATTTAGGCACATTTGCCATTTTTTCATCTGTTTCGTGGAGTGAAAATCCTCACCGCGTCAGATATTTTACCCTTTTAGCTTATTTCGAGAATTAGCGGTAGCGATAGGGATCGTTTAACTAAATCCCCATTTCGATTAGCGCAGAAGTTACCACTTTACTCGCTATGCAAATGAACACGAACATTACCTTGCTACACACATTCAATGGATTTCCTTTTTACTTATGATTTTACTTGGACTTATCCGATGTCACTGATACCCTTTTGCGCTATCCGTACAGCGGAGCGAAAAATTATTTCGATAAAAAAACTGCTTGATTTGGTTAACTCATAGCTGAAAATCTCATAATCACAGCGCACTTGTCTATGCAGAAATAATTATCTCCGTGGATCAACCTTAAATCTAGTAGTGCGCGAATTCCGAAAACTTGATTTCCAACGTGAAATCTCATTTTAATCGCTGTTTACCACTGAACTATAATTATAACGGGTGTCCCAAAATTAACGCAAGATTTGAATTTGCCGCCATTTGTGCGGTGAAGTGTTGGCCACCCTGAAAAAAAAGCAATTTGACAGCTAACAGTATAGGGTTATTAAAAATGGAGCGTTACACGATAGAACAACGTGTCTTCATTATTAAAGAATATTTCAAAAATCGTGAAAGCTTGGCGGCTGCAGTTCGAAAATTTCATACAAAATATGGTCGGTGTTAACTTCGTCAACTGTGAAGAGATTAATTGAAAAATTCATGGAGACTGGATCCGTTGGAGACGCCAAACACACTGGTCGTCCAAAAACAAGCCGTTCGAATGTGAACACTATTCCGACCATATTTTGTATGAAATTTTCGAACTGCAGCCGCCAAGCTTTCACTATTTTTGAAATATTCTTTAATAATGAAGACACGTTGTTCTATCGTGTAACGCTCCATTTTTAATAACCCTATACTGTTAGCTGTCAAATTGCTTTTTTTTCAGGGTTGCCAACACTTCACCGCACAAATGGCGGCAAATTCAAATCTTGCGTTAATTTTGGGACACCCGTTATATTTCAGTGCTGTTGACCATAAAGTCCTGTACTGGAAAGTCAAAATGGGACGGACTAGATATTCTTTAAAAAAAACCAAAACCACTCGCTCTCCCCTTCTATTTCCGCCTTATTCATTACGACCCGGAACACATTTGATGTTGTAACAGATTTTTCCTAGTGGAGTACTTTTCCCAATTTATTTAACATTCTAGATATACTCTCCTTTTATACAGATTTTTGTAAGGATAGCCCGTGGTTGATCACAATTTTGCGTTTGCTAGTGGAAAGTCATTCGAATTATTGATTCTTATTGAGTATTAATTACAGTTTTAATATCTAATTACCTCCGTGTCAGGAATTAGACACTGCTTACGCAATATTTTATGTGCAGCGCGATTCACTACCCCTTTTTTGCTTGTGTTGTGTTACAGATTGGCAGAACGCGACATTCTGAATTAACTCTGTCATTGAACCACGGAACGCCGTGCATTCTGTAGTAGTGTTACCAGCGAGTAATTAAATTCGACAATAAATAAATTTCCATTTCCGAATCCTTAAATAAAAGTTGTTCCATTTGTTCAACATTGAGCTGCTCGAAGGGTAGATCTAGACGACGTATAAATAAGGTAAACTGCAAATGGCCAATTATTTGTATTCAGCACGAAGCGTATGTTTTAAGGATTTTATCAGTTGGAAATTTTAACATTAAATAAATAGTAGAAATGATCCAATTATTTTTTGGTACCTGTCTGTTTTGTTGTTAAAGAAATTTTCCATAGTGACCTACATTCGTGCATGGACTTGGTTCGAAGAATATTAAAAAGGTTTCCATTTTAAGTTCAATATTAAGTGCCGAAGGCCTTCTAACTGAGCATAAAGTATACAAGCAACAAGTATAAAAGTTTTCAATTTTTGTGTGTATTTTATGAATGTTATTAGTGAATTAAATTAGAACCTCGTATAATTACGTGCGTATTTAAAGAATGCTTATTAAATAATTTAAATTTGATCATGCGGATTTGTTTATTTAGAATAAATCGTTACATTGTTTACTAGGATCGATTAAATTATCTGGCTAGCAGGAATATTTTCAGTTCAGTTAAGGAATTAGGTTTTTGTATTTTGGAGTGCCTGTAGGAATTTGTTTGAATTTCGTATTTACTCATAATAAATGCGTATTCTATTTGAGATAATCTTTTGCAATTTTAATAAGTGTCAATTTTGTTTGTTTGTTGAAAAGTTTTGAGGTCGGCACAAACTTTTATTTTTTTCGAATGAGAGTCATAGTCGATTATGGCCTTGTTAAAAGGCCCTTTTTAACCAATCCAAGGATATGCTAATTTTGTAGTGATTTAGGTAATAATGTCACCTGAGAAACGCAGTACTCTTCTAATAAGGGCCACATTTTTTGTGCAATAGTATG